AATGAATGGCTGGGCGCTGCCTCTTGATTTATACTCATGTTCCTTGCAATTTGGTATCGAATCTGGTTTGATCACCACTTACCTTTGGAACGCCGGCGTTATATAGACTTGGTGCGTTGATGATGCTTCTTCGCAGTGGGTACTCGTGACGTCAGGCTACACTAGGTGCACGCCCTGGGTAAAGAGGGGTGCACCGGAAGGCTATTGACGGCATTATTAGCTGTGGGATACAGCGGAATGTTTGATTGGTGATGAGAGCATGCTGATGTGGCATTGGACTAAGGTGGCACTGCATTGCGTTGTGGGTGGTACCGAGGTCATGACCGGTCATCAAATGCAACATCAACTCAATTGGTGAGAAATTTGTGGTTGGGGGCAGCTATCTCCAGGTACATTGTTCCCTTACCTTATCTACTCTCTCAATCTCTTCTTACCGTGAGGAAGTGAGTCCAACTTGAGRGTCCTCTCTTTTGGTGAGGTGTCGTGAGCGCGCTACCTTGAGAGACGACAATCTTCCCGGAAGCATACTAGAAGGAGAAAGGGCGGTGCCTCTGAAGGGCCCTGGTCGAAGCACTTGGGTCACGGTCACCATGCCAACCCACAGGGAATAGTGCACGCATGAGATGGCTGCTGTCCTGTTTGGCACTTGCTGCGCTGATAGAAGTTCCTCCGGGTGTGCCAGCCCATAACAAACGCTCACCAGACCGTCTATAAATATTTCTCGTTGCTTGCTCGGTGATAACTTGGGCACAGGGGTGGGCCGAAATGCACACGAAGACACTGCCTGCTCAATGATGCTGTTCGGATGGTTGGATTGAGGGGAGGGTAGGTTTCAATTGGTGCTCAACTGTATACACAACCATACCCATCAATCATACATCTGCTACATTGTCTTTTTGTACCTTTGATTAGTTGGTTGACGGACTGCTAACCTCACTGAGAGATTAGTGTAGGATTGTTGTATGCTACCATAGCCAATACTAACTAATGCTGCTGTAAGTGAACCAGTCAGGGTGCATCTAGACTATGTAGACAATCTGTGTGAATGTTGTAGACATGCCACTTGATTCGGTATACTAGGATACTCGCCAGACACAACTATTGTTAGAAAATTAGGTGCCGGTCAGATACATGCTGTTGTAGGATTCCACTAGGGGATTCTAGTGCAGAAACTACCTGCCTAACTAATGAGTGGATCAGATCCTGCTGATGATAGAGTTGACAATAGGAGACTTACACGTTTGGAAGCATTAAGGGTTCCGCACGTGTTCAGGACCTTGGACGAGGGAGAAGAAAGACAGCTTTGTGCCGAACGTAGAGCCCGTGCTCTAGCAGCAGGACTACAGGAAGCAAACAGAGTAGCAAGAGAGCGGGCAACAGCAGCCAGAGCAGCAGCAATGGCTAATGGTACCAGCTCTGCTGCGTCATCGTCTGCGTCCTCGTCAGGGACTAGTGGGCCTCAGTTGGGAATACCAATGAGTTCCACGAGTTCCTCTGGCACTTCCGGTTCAACAGGGTCTAGACAGTCTTCTAGTCAAATGGCGGGCTCGTAGTTCAGCCCGTTGACTCCACGTGAGAGGGAGCTCAGAGAGATCCAGCGGGTCGAAAGGCTCCGCCAACAGTTAGAGGAGGATCTGAAGAAAGCAACCAATAGAGAAAAAGAGATTACGTTAGAGGCTGACAAGGCTGCGTTAGAGGGATTGGACGAATCGAGTTTGTCTGACACCCTGAAAGTGTCGAGGGACAACCTGTTGTCACTGCATGCGCACGTAGACAGCAGGATGGACTTCATGCAAAGCACTTTGGACCAGATCCTGGATGCATTGACAAAGCCAGGATTCCGGCCACCAGCACAATCGTCGTTGCCGTTAACGGCGATGTCAGGTCCCTTTGTCGTACAAGTTGGCACGCAACCAAGCGGTACGTCTGCAACAGCCGCACAGACTGTTGCATCTTCTTCTTCGAGTCCAGTGGTGATTGCTGCATCACCACAACAACCTGTTCAGCAAGCTGGACAGCCGCAAGGCCAATGGTATCCAAAGACCCCAATGAAATCGCCTCTTGCCTTCTCAGGCGAGAGAAAGGACGAGGAACTCAACGCATGGTTGAGGACGGTCCCGGTTTGGGTGAAGGCCAAAAGGACCTTGCCTGAGGACGAAGTGGTAACTGCGGCGTCTTACCTTGAGGGTAAGGCAGCCAAGTGGTAGATGGTGTAGTTGTGAAGGCCGGGTACAGGAGACGCATGGCGGATTGGGCTAAGTCGTTGACTTTAGACCAATTCATGGAGATGGTAGAAGTTCGATGGCATAACCCACAGGAGGCTCAAAGGGCCACTAATGCCATTAACAAACTTGACCAACGCAAGTTCAGGTCAGTTAGGGAGCTTACGACTACCGTCGAGAGCCTAATCCTCGTCCCAGGCATCAACTACAGTGACCAGTTCCTTTTAACCACGTTTGTTAGGTGTTTACCTGAGAACATGAGGAACTTACTAGCCAGT